TTAATCTCTTCTGAAAGGAAAACTTGTTTCTATTGATAATGAAAATCGCTACATTCCTCGTTCTTGTTGCTTAAATTGAGTAGTAATAAAATGAATTGGTGCAATGTAATCTGGTCTTTTTATTTTGATTTTCCTTTTTCCATTGTGATTTTATATATTGGTATTTTCCCTGTGTTTTGAATGAACCCTTTTGAAGATTTCAAAAGAGCAGGCTCCGGTTAAAATTTCAAACCTCAATATACCGGTTAGCATGACATATTACGTTGTTTTGTAGGGTTTGTGATGTTCAAAGATCATTTTTAACATGTTACATTACATTGTTTGATATAAATGTCTTACATATATTATTGCATATACTACATGATCTAATATGTCAACAACATCAACTTTTACATATGTTATATTGTCTATCCAATTTATCGTCTGTTACATGATCCATTACATTATATGTTACATACTTCTAAGAAAATATTGCATTATGTTGTTTATGGAAACTGTTAAGTAACATCACCTATTATGTAATAGGTAATATCAACTATTACATTTGTTAATAGGATTAATAGCAGAAAATCCCCTAGAAACGTTTTCATTTACGATATACCCCATACATATTGAAAATCGTAGAAAACCCCTTTATTTTAAACCTTTTGTGTGAAATACAACATTTTTTGTGCGAAAAAATTCCCTACTGTTCAATTCTATTAGTTTGACTGTTAAAAACAGTCAAAATTTGTCAAAATTAAAGAGGAATAATTACAGTTGTAATCCAATTTTATTTTATTTTTATTTTATTTTATTTTTTGCAAATTACACCAAAATATTTTATTTACACCACCCATAATCTCAAACCTTTAAAATTTTATCTTCTTCCCTACTTCCACCACATCCTACCTTCCACTACCATGAGAAGCAACAAATTATGTAACTTCCGCTGCCCATTACCATGAGAAGGCAGGAACACGACCCACCAGCTTCCAAACCTAGTTTTATAACCTTAAGTTCACTTTCCTTCAATTTTTTAGTCACACAAGCCTCCAGCTTCCATAAAAAATGCCGCTGAAGTTCGATTCCTCTCAAGTCGTTGACATATTTGTTCGAGTTACCGACGGTGAGGTCGGTGTAGCCAACTTTCTTGTCCCCCAAAATCGGACCACTCGACCTCTCTCCCAATAAAATTGGAGAAGAAATCGCCAAGGAAATCGCTAATGATTGGACTGGCCTTAGCGTGACCGTCAAGCTTACTATCCAGAACCGCTAGGCTAAGGTTACAATCGGCCCATCGGCCATTGACCTTGTCATCAAAGCACTCAAAGGAGCTTGAGCGCGATAGCAAGAAAACAAAAAAAATTCAAGCATAAGAAAAATATCTTTTTTGATGATGCAATCGAGATTGCGAAAGTGATGAGTCCGCACTCCATGATGAAAGATTTGAGCAGTATTGTAGAGATTTTAGGCACGTGCATGTCAGTTGAGTGCACCGACTACGGGTGATTTTGTCAAAACTACGGAAAAAATCTCCTTGGTTTGGTGACCAACTAGGGGTGATTTCTTCTTCAGTTTTCATCCTAGCCCTCGCGATAAGTCTCTCGTTGTTGGTGGTCATTTCGGTGGAGGTAGTTTGAGATTGCTCAATTGGGGTGGGATGTGGTGGAAGTGAGGGAAGAATATAAAGTTTAAAAGTTTAGAATTGTGGGTGGTGCAAATAATAGATTTTGGTGTAATTTGCAAAAAAATAAAAAAGTTTGGGATCACAACTACAATTATTCCTTTTAAATTTTGACTTTTTTTTTTTTACTATTTTTAACGGTCAAACTAACAGAATTGGACGATAGGGGGTTTTCACATAATATATTTCAAATATGGGGATTTCTGTGATTTTCAATAGGTATTGGGTACATGGTAAATGGAAACTTTTTTTGAGGGTTTTTTGATATTAATCCTTTGTTAATATGTTCAAGGTTAGTGGACTATTACATT